ACAGGTGAGTAGGTGCATAGACTGAAGAACAATTTGGTGGAAGCATCAGCTTTTGACACAGATGCAATGAAGAAGGAAATTAGAAACAGAAACCGCAAATCTAAAAAGCTCACCTTGCATCTTATTGATTGACTTCTTGGAGTCAAAAAACTTAAATCATATCTGGCGATGAAATCTTCTTCATTCTGTTCACCAAATGTATCATACACCACCTTGTCTTCAAGTTCCACTCCTTCTTTAAATGCAACGAGCCACTCATTGCTTTTTTGGGGAGTTGCTTGTAACTTGTCAACTGCTTCAGTAATGCTCCATGTCTCATTAATGTCGGCTGTTGATATGTCAAGCACAGTTACTACTTTCTAAGAAACATTTGAGCTGCGTCCCCAAGGTGCAATTCAGTGAAACAGCTATCTATCAACTTGATCATGAATTTCATGAAGGCAAATTTGTCCCAGGCTAACACACTTAGCGTCAGATTCAAACTCGCTACGGCAAGTAAATAATGTACCTTTATCAGCTTCAAGTCGATAGGTACTGGTAGGTAATTAACAGTTATTTACCGAAATGGAGGTAAATAATAATTGCTATTCACCTCCCAGCTAGCCAATGCAATCAGAATAAGCGGAAAGCACTATTCACTTGTGTGGTATACGTAAGTACTAAGAGTTCATATTTAGGCATGTGCATTAGTTCTCCGGTATGATTATAATTATATAACTGTCTTACCCAAAAATTAAATGGGTTCTCTAGGGATCTATCATTTTAGCTCAAAAATGCCAGGCTCAATCAAATGTTTAGGGATCCGGCGCTGAAGCAACAAAAAGAAAAAAGTATGGCCAGGTATTGATTGTGCTGATCAGACTGCCTGTTGTTCTGCTCTGTCATAAAGAAACAATGCCCTAATATAAGGTAATAAGGTATGGTAATTCTTTATTTAGAGTGTCAAACTCCGATTAGCTAAAAAGCAACTTCGCAGGAAGCCCACAATTAAAATAACATAAATAACTGCTCCAAGGTACTGCGTGTTCATTCAAATACATGCAAGAAAGGGTTAGTTCATCAAATGCTCTGTTTTCACGACTGTGAAATGTGTGTTTTGCTTATACTGGAACGGATTAAACAATTCCAAAAGAGAAACAGTAAACTGTCTTATTCCTCTCCTGCCATTTTACATAACTTTATGGGACCTCTACTGTATTTAAAACCTCAATTTATCAACTGAAGTAATTACGTCTCACCTTCATCAGGATCCCGGATGATGACTTTTCCAAAATGACTCCACATGTCAGCTCCACATGTCGCATCAGTTTCCAATTTAAAACAACGCAGAGAAGACAAAACACTTCGAGTCAGGCTGGCATCGTAATCTCTTACTGAGTGATTTAGTGCGCACTCTCCCTGCAAATTGATTGGTTGAATATTAGTCTATATAGTTTGGGTCATATAGACTTTCGAATTATCTCTTTGACGATGGGGGAAGGGACTTCTACTGATTATTCATACAAGCATAGAAGACTGAGCTCCTCTTTAAAGTTCCTCATTTATACAAACCTGTGATTCGTATTCGTCAACAGGTTTCAAACGATACTGTGACTGTGCTCCAGGCAGTATCATACGCTCACTTTCATTCAAAGCCACAAGTTTAAGTTCGCATCCATGCGGAAGGTGTCGCTCGTCAATAAAAACACAAATCCTGTTTGGCCTGACTCTCGCTGCAGCCTTGGAAAAAAAACAAGGAGTTTGCTTTTGACATTTATGAACAACCGGCAGCCGAGCTAGCTTCCAATTAAAAATTCTTGTGGTAAGCTTGCAATTTGATTGCCTATGCAGTTACTTTCTCTTGAAGTATGGAAGGCCCTAGAGGCGTGAACGCGATCTTGCCAGCGTTGTGGCCAAAATTTACACTGAATGTGTTAAACAAAACTGTCGTCTGGCCGTTATATTGTAGTTTTATCGATAATCTTTGTAAAAACAGATTATGCACTCGTTTGGTCTCGTAAAAACACGAATTGCTCTTTTTCGTTTTGTATTGGCTGATAGCTNTTGCTTACCATATTTGCAGTGAATGGTTTAATTGACCATCTACCATGATAGCTAAGCCAATGAAAACTCTCATGAATTGCATTATTCAATGATCCAGTTTTTTTTTACTGCGAGACTTTCTGACGAGACAGATAGACGGACAGACGGCAGACAGACAAACATGCAGCAAATTGAGTTCAGTGTGAGCAAAAGATATTTTACTGTCAGAGAGACACACGTCGACAGACAAATAGACTGACTGTCTGACCGACCAGCCGACTGACTAACAGACCGACGTACTGCAGGACTAACTAAAAGACGAACTGATAGCCATGCAATTAGTCTAGCTGACTGATGAACAACCGACAGCCACACAAACAGATGGACAGATAAACTGACTGCTTGACTGACTGATTGACCAGACGAACGACGGACCGAACGACTGACTGACTGATTGATTGATTGGTCGTCGTAAAAACAACTACTTTTGAATTCAAAGTATCCAATCATCTTGAATGTGCATGATTTAGAAGATCTGTAATATTCGTAGAACACAACACTGAAGAATGAACTAAAATGGCATTAACTATAAACTCTGCTCACTAATTTACCACAATATATTTCATTAACGTTTCTTACCCATCACGTACCACTTTTTGATTGATCAGTTCTCTGGCTTGTGCTCGTTGACCTTCATTACCCCAAACATGAAATCCGCTCTGAGTGGCCTTGTTATCAGTCTGGGAGATCCTTGTACCTGTCTTCTCTTGAATATCTTTAATTGTATTTCCTTTCTTGCCGATTACAAAACCCATGGCGTTTGCAGGAACAGCTACAAACTCACGGCTTTCATCTTTCCAGTTCCTTCTTAGGTCTTCATATGGGATCCTACAATCAGTACGAAGCAAGAGAATATAAAGGCCTAATTCCAATGGTTATCCCTCTCGACTTTCTTTTAGATCGCTCCCCTCTTCAGAAATTAATCCCCAGTGGATCTAAAATTAGCCAATCCTGTGAGCGAATGTGAGCCCAAGCGGTTTTCCCCCAAGAAAACATCACTGTAACACGCTTGGTAACATTATCCGCGAGAGAACTGGATACTATATCTAAAAATAACTTGAGTGACTTCCTTGAGATGATTTCTTTTTCTTTCATTCCTACTCTCTCGGTAAAACTCTAGATATTGATATATTACTTATCGCTTCTCTTGGTCTCAGTTATTGCCACGTGTATTAAGAGCTGATTAATAACACAGAGGACACAGCAAGAAGAGGTTCTTGCTAGAATTCCGAGCAACTGGCATATACTTAAGAAATATACGTTTATCAGGTTGAACAACTATACCAACTTAACTTCGTGACATCGATAGCAAGAATTGCGTGACAAATCCATTTACTGCAGTGTTTACCAATCTGACCTGTGCACTTTTTTCCCTCCGATTTATCAAGCAAAGTGTTGATCAAAATGTTCCAGAAAATGAAAACCATTTTCAATAGTATTAGACATTACTGTACTTCTCTCAGCGGCTGATTTTCACTTTAATATTTCGTTAATTCATTCATGTTCATTCAACTTTCTTTCTTCCTGAATATCAACAGGAAATACAACGAATACAACTGATTTAAGTTAAAGTAGAATCAGGAACAGTTAACTCGATATATAAAGAGGATACAAGTTGCTGATCTAATAACATAATGAAAATATAAACAACATTCATCTTATTTAAAATCTTCTGACGAACATAACTTAGCTTAACTTGATAACCGTAGGTGTACATTTTAATTATGTCGCTTAATATTTACCTTGTTTTAGCGCCATTCGTCGACTTCTTTCGATTGTGATCTCTTCCTTTCATGGCTTACCTTGATATTTCTTTGAGAAACCTACCATCTGTCAGCAACAAGGAATATCAGTTGCTTAAAGTTCAAACGTTTGTATACATACGCGAGGAAGAAAAATAAGTTATCAAAGCGGAACTACTTCCAGCCTTGTTTTGACCATC